TTCTTCCACGACCGCATAGATACAAGGACGCAAGGGTTTTGCAAAAATTGTACATTTTTATKTTTTTCATATAATATATATATAATATTATTATATACCTACCTACATATTGTGACATATTAGCACAAAAAATAATATTAATATAAAGATATTGTTATATTTTAAATGATTATCTACATTTTATTTTAAATTTATTGTATACAACTTTTTTTAGTTGAAAAGTGAATCAGCCGAAAAGGAAAGGGTACGTTTTAGGTCGAAAACGGCCATACCYCTGGTGCAACACGACAATACCTAGACAGTGCTATGAATTTTAGGAGAAGTATTGGCAACATAGTTCCTTCTCCGGTCCTCGATACCATAGGAAAAAAAAGTGCTATGTATTATACTAATGGACCCCCTTATTATTATAATTTAGCCTTCTATTTTATAATATGCCAAAAGAAATATTAATAGGCTTTGTCGTAAAGTTTTACTATATACGGTAAGATGTTTAAGACATGCCAAATTATTATTTACCAGCYTTTTGTTATAGCCGTTATAGGTAATATGTTTAAAATTTTACAAATAAGCATACTTATATTCATAAGTTTATTTATATAATGAATTGAATACTTAAATATTCATAGGTGATAGGCTGTATTGTTATTTTAGTAAGTACGTAAATAAATAGAAACTGCTCGTTCAATTTTTGATCTCTAAAACATCAATATTTTTCGAAATATCAACTTAAAAAAATTCACCCAGTATATAATATTATACATTACACATAATAATACCTATTATACTAGACGCATAATTTATTATTATTTAGTAGGTATATATACACTGTTATAAAACCATTTTTAATGCCTCTCATTTTATCTCATCCTAATGAAAATAAAATAGGAACATATTATACATATATATACACACATAAGGAAGTCACCGAGCGGTGTGGTCCACCTCCGCTTTAATTATTTTTTACTTTTATGCGAACGGGGACCGGACGACCGTCTTGTAATTACGATTGTATCAAATGTTCGTTAACCGGTAGAAATTAGTTTAATTAAGTTCAATTAAGACGTTTAGCCGTTTGTGCATCGCGTGCAAGGAGCGTAGGTATACAATATACATAGCATAGATCATAGATCTTAATAATCTTATCGTACGGCGCCGTTGCAGGTCAGTGTGTCGACGCCAATCATCATAACATTATATAGTGTACCCCGTATATTGTAGTGTTTGCAGTTTACTGCTGCAGGCGGAAGTACAGAGATGACTTACGAATTTACGCGTTATAGCAGGAAACTGAAAAATATAAATACGACCACGTCACCACGAATGCGACAACGTATTTATTAATGAAAACCTTCTCGAGCGTAGGAGTGTTTGCAGCAGCATACTCCGTCGAAAAACACCGTTGCTAAAACGTACAACCCATCGTCGTCATTCGTCCTACTTAAAACTGTGTGCATGTAGTACAACCTAATGTAGGCATGTAGACTGACCTAATAATCATTGATCAATATTATTGTTATATATTTACCGAATACCGAGTGTGACTGATTTTTAAGGGAAATTTCGGAAAATAGTACAGAAAAACATATTACAGACTATTATATAGCGCCTATCTTCATATCTTCCCTTTGAACGAATAATATTGTCTATTTTTATCAGTGTGTATAAAGTGTACAATGTATGCATACAGAGGACAATATATATTGGTATAACACATTATATATTTGAATATTTTATAATAATTTATTTGAATAATTTATAATATTTAGGTTTAAATAAGTAATAATTATGACAGTGGAATGGTATACAGACCTATATGAAATATATTTTGCACCTGTGTAATTAACAATATGTAACTTATAGACAAAAAATGCCCATCTGAAAACATTAATGAGGTGAGTATTATTAAATTCTATATACGTATCTAAATATCTAATGCTGTTCAAAAATAATCAAGTTTACAATGTTTACATGTGGTTTGAAATTTGAATAAACATAACGATAATAAAATATAGGATAGGTAAGCGTCAAYTGTAGCGTCATCTGTTTATGTTTGTTCGATGAACAATTGTTTAAATTTTCATAAAGTAACAATCATAATAAAGAAAATAAAAACAGCTATTATATGCAGGTAGCCGATAATTATTATCGCTCTGTATATAAATATAATATATTAACAAGGAGTGGACTTGTAGAGCAGGTATAAATATATAGGTGAACTTTTATTTTTCCGTCTTCCTTCGCGTAGGTTAACTCGTGTAGCGTGCACAACAATATTATTCGTATTTATACACATAATATCATACAAGTTATTCCCCCAATACATGTTGTAATTGCCCATAATTTTGTTTTTTTATTTTACCGCATTCCGTTCGGATATTGTTACTATGTAATGTTAATATCATTCTTGCAGCTGCACCGATCAGGTTTTTAATGGCCCGGAGCTTTGTTGTTGTAATTATTTCATATATCAAGTAGTTTGATCAAAGTCTCCGGAATCTGTATTATGTATGAACGGTTTAAAGCTTAACCAAAAAATCGAAGCAAATACGTAAAGAATAATGAGGGACGATTTTGGTTCAGTCTGTCACCAGAGTACCAGACCATAAGCGTTTGATCGACCGTTTATTATCGATCTCACCTATACGTTTATACGCGGTGCATGGAATATATAGTGTTAGTGCTTAAAGGGTTTACATTATTAAAATTTATTCATGCCCGAGTAAGACAGTTATTAATTATTATTGCGACGCTTTCCTGAAATAATAATATGTTTTTTTAAATCACAATTTTTTCTTTACAAACCAGTGTCTAAAAATAAAACGGTACGTACGTGTCACTTTTTCTCTTGCGTATGTGTTAACATCAGGCAAGTCGTTTGATATTATAAAATGGTGTGGTGCGTTTTCCACATCTACTATAAATTTAATGTAACTAACTATTTCCATATWACAACAATAGTCAATTAAATTCGTATATACATATGTCTTATTACGAAAATTTTGATAATTRTTCTAACGTAAACTAAACGTCTTGTTGTGTAGTAAGTTCAATCGACAATAAAATATATTATTCTATTCAGATGTTCAGCTAAAATATATTATTTATAATATTTATAACTAGGACATATATTTTAGAATGCAGCACAATATGTATGAAGTATATAACTGTGGATACGCCGCAGTGACTCTGTTTTTTTCTTCAAACTGTACAAGAATGGGAATATAGATATTTTTATAACTCGATATATATATTTATATATAAGGATTAAACGATTAACGTAGGTGTTTAGTATTTACAGCTGTATAATAAAGCTATCCAATTAGTTATCACTTGGTGAGTGCAATATGGACCTAGATTTTATCTTTAGATATTTTCTTTTTTTTKGTGTATAATATAATACCATTATAGAGTATACCACTATCTGCTTTTCAGTCCAAACACGTAAATAATTGCAGTATTCGGAAAATAATAAAACATACAATTAAATTTCCGTTTATATTATAATATTTTCATCCATAATGTATAATAATATGATAATAATTGTGTGTATTACTTTTTACAATATGACAAAAAGCTATTGTAGTAGCCTTGTGGAAGTTAGGCGCGCCAAGAATGCTTAAACCTATTTTGATGGGTTTACACGTGGTGGTGGCGGTGTGGGGCTTGGCCGATGGGTGTTTCTTTTTAAGTATACACGCGCGCTCAACAAATTTTATTAAAATAACAAAAACATGAATTCGGAATTGTATACGCATAAATTATAATATTTGTATTAATATTGTGTTTATACTAGTAAAAAATATGTGTTAAACTAAAATGTCAATGCGTATCCAACGTTTCCCTGCTTAAACAACTACAACTATAATCTACAAGTTACAATTGCTTGTATATAATTATATAATATATAAATATATATTATTTTGTTCCTAATTATTCTAATAAACCACAATACATAAAAAAAAACACAACAGCGTGTTTTGATTATTTTAAACAAATATTCGTGTTTACGGTGTTTACGCTGTAATATAAACTATAATACTTAAATGATTCATAAGCTAAAAATGTATTGCCAATAATAAAATACCAAACACTCACGATGATATAATGATTTTATTGATAATTTTTATTATGTATAAAAAGTTACGTATTTTTAGCTTTGAATTTTAAATACTTTTTTTAAATCTTCTAAATGTTTCGTTAAATAGGTTTATTTGTTCCTCGACCACAAATACGAGATACAATCATTTTGTATGGAAATTTTTTGAATTATTTAAACTGGATACCATTGTATTTTGTAGTTCTTTACAGAAATATTCCATATAGGTACTGTGCTGTAGCGCTTTACCGCCGCGGTGTGCAAGTTGACAGTTTATCTCTGACTAGAATATCATGATTCATTATTATGAAGTATGGGCATATTATTAAGAACTAAGAAGGACTGTTATTTGTACACATTGTTATTACCTGCTATTATTCAAACGACTTCAACGGTAAAAAACATATTT